AATTCTAGGAGATGTTTTCTCCACATATATAATTAATTAAACATTAACAAGAGAACTATCACACATGCATGAATAGCTCATGATATAAATGATGCATGTGTTAGAACTCAGAAAAACTCATGATTTAAGGAACTGTAATATCAATTTCTTACTATTTATAAAATAAGCAAACATACATTATTTTAATGTAAGTGGTTCGAATCATAGATATATGATTCAAACTAAAATCGTACTTTCAAAGTTCTATCTCTAATTCCAGAACATATTATTTTATTTTATCATTTTACTGATTTTTGTACCTGTTTCAGTATTGTAGTAAATCTTGGTTCATCTCTATTTCATATCCTCTCCAGACTTGGAAATTTGGATTGCTTCCTTGATGAACAAAATCATGTCTCCGTTGTTTCATCTTCCATAAAAATTGATTTCCTTGCTTTATTGTCCAGCGTGTAGCATCCTCCATTAAAAAATCAACACTTTGGTTGTTATCGTAGATGGAAATTTGGCGGAATCTTTTATCCTCTATATTGCCTTTGCATCTAGTGATTAATTAATCCATCATCACTAATCAATCATTAATCAATACACAATTGCTTATGATTACTTTTATATCTGATCATTGATCGACCCATCGTTGCTTAGCGATTATCCATCACATGATGCTATTCACACCAAAAATCCTTTTGTTTTGCCACTATTGCACAACAAATCTCCCTGGCGTCATAAGCATTTTGTTACACAAGTTTCTTTTCAATTATCCAGTAAGCCATGATGTCAAAAAACTCAAAAATTAGCCTAAAGATTGTTGAAAATTGGGGGTTAAAAAATAGATCATTGGCTTCAAGGCCTTCTGTAAATACCATTTTCGTTTAAGCTAATTTTTCCCCCACTAGATCTAGTATGCAAAAGGGGTAAGCCGAAATGCTCATAGGATACAATGAAGTGCCTTGTTGATCTTACTTTTGCATTAGTAAGATCAACCACTGAACTGTCCTTTAGAAAGCAACAAAACAATAGTTTTTGTACAAGGATTTCTACAGCAATCGCAGTACAAAGAGGGGCTGTTTTATTTAAATAATAGTAGGGATTTGTTTTAGTGTTCAAATGACTAAGAAGAAGAAGAGATAACTTCATATTTATAGGGGCAAGATGTCTATTGGGAACAAACACTCCTTTTTAGTTTATTAACTGAAAATATCTGAATTTTCATTAAATTTATCCATTGGAAACTCTTCCAAAAATCATTTGGTTTGATTTGAATTCTAACTCATGTGTTTTCTTGCCTTCCAAAGTTATCCACTCTTTCTTAAGAAATTTATCAGAATTCTATTTTTGAATTGTTCAAACCATATTTTTGAATTTTGATTTTATGTAAACAGTTCAAATCGTATTTATATAATTTGAATCAAAATCATACTTTTTCAAATGCATTATGTGCAATTACTTTAAACTAACTTTTTGTGATTTGAATCCAAATCTTGAAACTATTTTGAAAATTCTTCAACAAGTATTGAGACATTCGACTATAATAAACCACCATAAATTTCAAATTATTATGTTTTTAAAATGTTATCATTGATGTGATAATGAGATTTTCTATTTTATTTGATATTTTTTTCTTGTTGAAAAGCCACACACGAGTTTTATTTAAAACTAAGAAACAGGAAATACATAGTTGAATATGGAACCTATCTCCTGTTACAATATATGCTTTACCCTATTTAATATATTTTTTTCAAATATCAATAGTATCAAGTAAAAATTTCTCATTAATATTTGTGAAATTCCAAACTTATCACCTTTCTCATTTCATCACCAGTATAAAATTGTTTCTTCACCTCAGAATCTTGTGAAATCCTCTTATTCCATCAAGCATTTCATCCAAAACTCTTGCAAGAATCCCATGATTAATCACCCGGAAAAAACCCCATTTTTCACAGGCATTTTGGGAACTTTTTGAATTACCTCCTGATGTCTTCCGGCATCATGATCAATGTCATTTAAATCAATGATTGGAATACTAAACTTACTATGATCTGAATCAGATTTTTCATCAAGTTGATGTTACTTATTGTTATAACTCAAATTTTTAGTAAAATATTATTTTATTTTAGTTTTATTTTGAATTTTTCTTTGATTTTTACTTTGATTTTTTTTTTTTAAGTAATCTGTTTGTCTTTACTCTTCTTGTTAGGTTTAAGAGTAAAAAGGCAATTTTGTGAAGAGGATTGGAAAAGGGATATGAAGGAAATTAAGACAAAGGACTCAATTGAAGAAATAAAAAGTTGAAGGAAGAGATGCATTAAAATTTAACCCAAAACCCAAAAAACCTCAAAAATACCCAAAATCCATAATTACCAAAAACTCAAAACCCACAATTACCCAAAACCCCAAACCCAAATACTCAATATTGAGCCTATTAGTCATTCAAACCCAACCCAATCTAACACCAACTTATTTCAATTTGAGATGCTTAGGCCCAATTAAGCCCACTCACTACTTGAAACCCCAACCCAACTCCAAAACCCACCATTTTACATAAAACATAAAAAATGGAAAAAGTGAGGCTTAAGTCTTCGTCCTCACCCACACTCACCCTCGGTATCCTCTCACATCTCCCGAATACTCATCTTCTTCAAGTAGCCGGCGGCCACCCCTCAAAATTCGCCGTTGATCAAGCTTCTCTTCCCTTCCACGCCCAAATCTCCTTCGATTCTCTCTTCCTTTCACACGATCCCTTTGCTTCTCCTTCCATGGGTTTCATCTCCCTCAAACACAGCCGACATCCATATCCTCTCCTCAAAGTCGCCGGCTACTTTTTCGTTTTCCAAGCGCCATGGCTACCAAATTCTGTCATCCGAGCTTTCTTCTGTCTTGTATTTCACCGTCTCTTCCATCCTCCATGCACGCTTTGTTTTCTCCAGATCCACCGACAGCTGACAAGTTCTCCAATTGCCATCACCCCCTCCCATGGCTCCCAAATCCGTTCTTAGCCCTCACTCTTCCCTCCTTTGATTTTCCTCATTCCGATTTCTCTTCTCAGCTTCCGATTTCAGTTGCCACTTTTTCAAAATTCATGGCCACCGAAGAACAACAGCGAGTGAATATCAAACATAAAGAGGATACGCCCGGATCAGCAGATCGGTGATGGTGGTGGTCACTACGCCGACGAGTGAAGGTTGGAATTGGAACGAAAAGAGCTGGATCTGTTGATTGGTGGCGGAGGTGATGTACACGCGAAGCTCCAGCGGCTCGGCAAGATCTCAATCGTCATCCGACTGAAACAAATCTGCAGACGAAATCTATGCTAGCTGCGGATCGGGAATGGGTGACGACAAGATGAATTGGGCGTAGATTGAAGGCCCAAATGCATTTTTGCAGATTCTAGGAAAGGAGAAACATATTTGAGAAGCCAAAAGCCATGGATCCAAATGGTCCGGAGAGTTATTTCTAGAAGGTTAAATGCTAATTTTGCTCCCTTAACTTTATGAAGTTATATTTTTTTATCCCTTAATAATTTTTTACACTTTTTTATCTCTCAATTCTAAAAAATGCACCAAATCATGTTCATATGATATTTTTTATATATTTTTATGACACAGAAAAGAAAACTTAAAAAGATGGTGACATGGATAAAATTTTATGCCATATCACAAGGGAACAATGTCAACATAAATTAACTCCCAAAATTTGAAAAAATCTATTAAGAACTGAGAATGGAAAACGAAAAAAAAAAAAGAAGAAAAACCTGGTGAACTTAACAAACAAAGGAAGGCTTCAATGGAACCAAGCCTGTGTTCAATGGAACCCAAAATAGTTGGGTCCATCGAACCTAGATGAAAAACTTGTTGAATGTAGATAAGGCTCCACTAAAATTCTTCACTCGTTCTTTGTCATCTAATTAAATTTAATAAACAAACACAAATGAATCCAAATTGCAAAATTTCACAAGAACTATCTGGCATTAATGGTGCTCTCACGCAAGCCATGCCTAACCTGTATTATTTCTTCTGGTGTGGGAGATGATAACAGGTTGCCCCTTGGTGAACCAATAAGAGGTTCATTAGTTGAAATACTGAGTGCAATATTCAAGAGCTTTTTGAAGTCTCCTTAACAATTAGACATATGATTAGTAGCAACTATGTTTGTATCAAACCGTATCAAATAGTAGGCACTGTAGGAAACTGGACACATCTCTTTAAGTTACTGTAGAACTGTTTCTCGAAGGAAGAGAAGCCAAGATTGATCTGGGTATGGAACCCAGTAGATCTAGGGTTCCATTAAATCGAGCGGTTGGGTTCGATGGAACCCACATCAGCTAGGTCTATCAAACCCAAAAGTTAGGTTCGAGGAAACCCAGTAGATCTGGGTTCCATCAAACCTAGATTAGCTGGGTTCACCAAACCCAGTTGCTGGGTTTCATTGAACCCAGCTTTTGGGTTCGATGGGTTCCATGGACCTAGTTAATTTAGGTTCGATGGTTCCACCGAACCCTAGTTGTTGGGTTCCATTCCACCAAACCCAGCAACAGGAAAGAAGAAGAAAGAGAAAGAAAGAAGAAGAAAGATGGGGAAGAAGATGGATCGGGAAAGAGAGGGTAATATTGTAATTTTATTGTTTTTTATTTATTTTTATTAAAAATATAAATATTAATATGATGTGGCATTTTTATTTGTCCCCATAACTTAATTATAAGACATATCATTGCCACATCATCAAAAGAACTAAAAGAAAATGCCTTTTGAAATTAGTTAACTACCACGTCACAGCTAACTGATAGAAGGACCAAAATTGTGCACTTCTTAGAGTTAAAAAATCAAAAAAGTGCAAAAATTTAAGGGATCAAAAAAGTGCAACTCCATAAAGTTGAGGGACCAAAATTAGTATTTAACCTTTCTGGAATGCTCTTTTTAGGGTTTTTGTGTTTGGGTATAAATAGAGGGCTTTAGGTTAGAAATGGAGGAAGGGGGTTCTTTTGGTTGAGTTTGGTGTTGATGGTGGAGAAAAGGAGGGATTTTTCTAGAAGGAGTATATTTTTTTGTAAGGAGATTGTCAAGGTTGCGCAAGGGATTTCATTTCTGGAGTGGTTATCGTTAGGTATACCTTTTGATAGAGAATTTTTGTTAGGAAAATGGTGAAGGAGATGGTGGAAGCTTGATCTTGTGGCTGGGATTCCTTCCATCAGATCCAGATCTATTTTTCTTTCAAAAATTCATCGTGTTTGTTTTTATTTTCTTGTGGGTGTTTGTTCTTTTTAGATCTGATATTAAGATTGTATGTGTTTCATTGGAAAAATGAATGAAAAAAAAAATTGTTCAGTTTATTTCTTGATGGATGTGTTTATCTTTTTACTAGAAATTAAGTGAACCCCAATTTTCCTGCTTTGTTTGCATGTTTGATCTTCTTTTTCTCCATTTTCATGCTTGAACCGTGTTTTTGGATTAGTTATTTCGACCCAATCTAAATATATATATAAACTATATATTAAGTATAATTAGTAATTAATTAAGTAAATTAGTTTAGTTCATGATTAATAAAATTAATTAACTTTAATTAAAATAAATTAATCATTTTATTGATCTTAATTTGAAATTATTAGATTTATCTAATGATTTTAATTAAAGATTAATAAATATGATTAATTACTGTTTAATTAATCATTGAATTAAATTAATTAGTGCAATTAATTAACTTAAATCATTCTGTTTCTTTTAATTTTGGTCAAAGGTCAAAGTTATTTTTTATTGCAATTTCACCCAAAAATTTTACGATTAAGCAATTCAGTGCCAAGGTTTCAAACCTTTTTAAATTAATCCTCCATGTTTTGAATTTAATCAAATCAGTCCTCTATATTTCGAATTTAATCCAATCAGTGCTCTATCTTTCAAATTTAATCAAGTTAGTCCCTTAACTTTTTTCTTATGCCTATTGTGCATGTATGTCTTTGATTTAGTCCATTTTAGTCCAAAAATTTAAAAATGTTCGAATTTGATTTATCCTTTTTTTAAATTTGCCTATAAAGACTTAAGCATAAATATAATGAATAAGTTGAATTAAAACCCCAATGTTAAAGTATGCAACCATGTTTAAAGAGAGGATTGTGAGGTGTGCGCATGCCGTTTCTCACTCTTAATTGAATCCCCGAACCCTAATCTCTATGCAAACCCGTTTTAAAGTGACTTGTCCCTTATTGTAATTTGGACGAGTGGCATCTCTTTTCTTGATATGTTTCACACTTAATGTAATGTTTTTTAAATTTTAAGTGGTCATCAACACTTATCAATGAAAATCTGTGGGATTTTTGACACTACAGCATCTACAAGGCCTTTGACACCAGTTTTTCAGTCATCAAAAACCTTCAACTCACTTTCCCTGTCATACTTGCACTCCATTTCTGATTGTTTTCTTTTGTGATGCAGCTGATGGATGGAAAAATGTTTATGCCGAGTCATACAAGAATGAAGAATCTATGTTTCAATGAAGATAAACAGAAACTGACAAAGGAAAATTAAAAGATATTGAGGAAAAATAAAACAACAAATTACAACCATCATATTTGTCTTGTCCTATTAGATTTTCCAGGCTTTTCAAGTGCCTGGGGCCAATTTTAGGTGAAGTGGTTCTTGACAAAGCTTTTCAGTTAATTATTATGAGAAATGTTACGTCCCAAATTACATGACGGATAAATGTTAAGACCAAACTCCTACTAACCACTTTAATTAAAAAATTTGAAGGCTGTATGTATTTAGTCTCTAAGACTTGCTCCTGACCTTTTAGGACAATTGACTTGTATTAAAGAAAATGCACCCTTAGCTTTAAGAGTTAGGTTTAAATTCTACATCTCCAAATTTGTATCTGTCAAAAAAAAAAAGAAAAAGAAAAAAAGGAAGTCTCCAAAACTTGTTACATCAGGTGGGTTTCAGTATGGTTTATTCTTAAATTGAAAATGCCTTTTGAGGTCCATGAGTAGTACACATCTGATGTGCTAAAATTTATTAGTAAATGCATTAGTTCGCTCTTAGTAATATAATGATTAGTGCATTAATCACTCTTAATGATATAATAATATAATAATAAAAAAAGTCAAAGTTACAAGAATTATTAATTAATTATGTATTAAAAATAACTAATTTTAAATTCATTTGAACAATTAAAAAGAATAATTTTTAATTAAAAATAATTAAAAGAATAACAATTAAAATAAAGATAACTAAAATATGAAATATTAAACATTCAATCATAATTAACCAATATAAATTTTAAATTATTATATTTTCAAGATATTACTATTCATATAACAATGAGATTTCCTATCTTATTTATTTTTTCTCTTGTTTGAAAGCCATGCTCAAGTTTTATTTAAAATTAAGAAATAGGAAGTAAGAACATGGTTAAATATGGGATCTATCTCCTATTACAATATCTACCCTATCATATTTGATATACATTCTCAAATATCAACTATATCATGTAAAAATTTCATATTAATATTTATGAAATTCCAAACTTCTCAATATCTCTTCACATTAAGTTCACATATTTAAATTACATAACAAGATAGCGCTTCAGATTACTAGCCTAACTAAAGGTAGAACATAACATTGTTTCCGAATGCATATAATTTAGAGTTTGAAATGTTCAAGTGGGGAGACACCGTTGAGCCCATTAGAGTAGTGGTGTGACAAGAAGTCTTTTACAGTTGCTTCACGATAAATTGGAGGATTTTCATCTGATAACAGCTCCTTAATTGGTCCATAGACAGTGGTACTTTCCGTTAGGAGGTGTGTTCTGAAGAAACATGCCATTGAAATTCTTGGACCTACAGCTTTTGCAAGAACCCTGTGATGAACGCTTATAAACCTATCATTGGTAATCAACTGCAAAACGTAACAAACTAAAGATGAATTAGACAAAGCAACATTATTAGGTAGATGTCGTTCAAGAGTCCTATGATACAAACGATGTTGTTTTGAGCTGTTTTGAACTTTGACAAAAATAGATGAGCGTTACAAAAGTTAGACCAAATTAAGAGTAGTATTAGGCAGACATAACAAACTTGCCTGAATTAAGTCAGCCAAATTTACGACAAGAGCTCCATGAATAGGGGTAACATCTATCCACTGATTTTGATAAAGGACCTGTAAGCCACCAAGTTGATCTTGTAAAAGCACAGTAAAGAAGCCAATATCAGTATGGCTACTTATGCCCAATGTGAGGTCCGGTTCAGGGCATGCTGGGTAGTAGTTGCCAGACACACAAAGACCCTTTGCACAGCCAATGTCTCTCAAGTAATTAGGATCAAGACCAAGAGATTCTGACAGCAGTTGGAGCAGTACTTGTCCTAATTCTATTACCTTGTTTGAATACTCAATTATTATGTCCCTGCAAGGTAATCAAGGAGATAAGATATTTTTATTAAAAAAAAAAAATTGTGCAATTTAGATTTTATCAAATTATAAAATTTAAACCATTAGATGGAGTGAAAATTCATTAATATATGAGATTGTTTTTAATTCAATGATTCTTGTTTTACAAATTAATGGAATCCAAATTGTAAAATAAAAACTCTTTTTATTAGTATAAGAAATAAATGATAAAAATTTATATTACTTGCCCATGATAAAATTTCTTACAAAAATGCTCAATATCTACTTGTATTGAATTTGAAATAGTCTGTGTTTAATAATCTGAATTATACCCATAAATCAAGGACCATTAGATTGAAAACAACAGGCATTTGATGGTTCATGTTGCACAGTCTGTTACTAAAATATGAATTTGCTTTGCTTACAAAGACATACCTGCAGACTGCCGGGATTTCTTGAGGGTCCGAGGGAGAAGGAGCCATGACACAATACAAAGTATCCCTCCAATTGGTTACTGGCGCCTGATACAGATCAAAATTGCTGCTGTAGAGCACTTTTCTACTGGAATAATCCCGAGAATAGATCTCTTTCTTCACTTCAGCATCTTGTTCATGAAATCTCCGAATACCATCGATCATCCCATCCAGAGTGCTCACCGGAATTCCATGATTGACCACCTGGAAGAAACCCCAGTTCTCGCTTGCATCCCGAACTTTTCCGATGACCTCACGGCGCAGGCTTTCATCTTTCGCAATGCCCTTTAAGTCGATGATCGGAATTTCAAAGGATTCAGCTGCAGCAGGGGCAGAATTCTCCTCAACCTTGCGATGCTCATTGACGAATATCTTCGGGATTTTTGTCAACCCTGAATCTAAAAGCCCCTTAACGCCGGCTTTTGATTCGTCGAACACCCTCAGTTCGTATTTCCGGTCATAATCGGATTCTTGAATTGATCCGGCACCGGTGAACATTGTGTTCATCTTCCTGAAGAGATAACAGAGTAGTTCAGGTTTGCTACGAGCCAACAGCTCTAGTCCTTTCGGCTAGAGTCGTCTTTTTTGTCCTAATATTTTTGGGTTTATCTCTATCGTTATGTGTGTCAATGAGCTATCAACGCTTCACAAACTTCCAACGGTTTTAAATATATCACTGAAAATATTTATTTCTTTTAATATATAAAATAAATGAATAAAAATTTATTTATATTTAAATTTTATATATTATATTTATATAAAATATTAATAATTTATTTTTCTGTTTTTAATAATTCAAATTTATTTATATTTATTAAAAATAATTATTTTTAGTTAAAAAATATAATAAATCTTAATTATTAAAAAT